CAACTTAAAAATTATTTCTAGTTTTATTAATTAATTACTACTTGTATATGCTTTGGAGTAAAATTAATTTATCTCCACTAATAAATTATTTTGCGGGTGCGAAACCGGTGAAACATTCTCTCAAGTCCGACCATGCAAGTATATGTATGTAATATGATTTTTTTTTAATCATAAAATTTGAGTTTAGATTATACTACTAATTAAATGTGTGTATAATACGTAATAATAATTACTACGTACTATAGTATATATGTCAATAAGAGATTCTTCAAAATGTAAGGGTCCTTCATCTTGCCATAAAAAAAATATATTATTTAAATTTTATAATGAGTTGAAGTTGGTTGAACTGTAATTGTATTTTTTTTTTTTTTTTTTTTGACAATAACTGTAATTGTTTTGGAGAGTTTATTGTATAAGTCCAGCTCTTCCTATGACTAATTCCGCAACAACTAACAAAAACTAGCCATGAGAGTAGGGAACCATTATACTTACAGGAAATTAAATAAGTACATAGTAGTTTTGTAAATCTACAACTCTTTAAAAGAGAGAAGTTCACCGCTCCTCTCAATATGAATAGTAGAACAGTGTAGTGACGGCTATACCCTCGGTGTTTTGAGTTATTTCCGGTTCTACCTTTTCCTTTGTTCTTCGGCGCTTTGCCGAACTTAAACCCTTTTTTTTCTTTCTTAGTCACTTAATTTAAGTAGATTTCCATTCCATTTTTGATCTACATTTTCTTAGGTTCTTTCCATTCTCTCTCTCTCTCTCTATTACATTTTTGTGTTTCCGTTTTTCCCCTCTGTTTGCCATTACAGTTAGATTTGTTTAGTATGGTGGGTTTTGCAGAATTTCAGGTTTTGAGTTTCCTCTTTGTTCGGTTTCTTTTAGAATTTCATTTTAGTTTCAATTTAATCTGTTTTTTTGGAATTGGAGGTTTCAATGATTCCGTTCTGTTGTAAATCGGTTCCAATTATGATGTTCTTTGTTGCATGCTGTTGAACGAATTTTCCCTCTTCTTTCTATTTCTGATCCTTGCGTTTCCATTATGTTTGTTTGTTCGCCATTTGAGTTAGATTTGTTTATTTTGTTGGGATTTGTTGAATTTCGGGTTGAGTGTTGTGATTTTCTTTGTTATCTTTTGTTGACTTTCGGGTTTCAATTTAATCTGATTTTGTGAAATTGGAGGATTTAATGATTTTGGTCTGCTGTAAGTTGGTTCTGATAATGATGTTCTTTGTTGCATGTAGTTGGTTCTGATAATTATGATCTTTGCGTTTCCATTATGTTTGTTTGTTCGCCATTGGAGTTAGATTTGTTTATTTTGTTGGGTTTTGTTGAATTTTGGGTTGAATGTTGTGATTTTTTTTATGAGTTTTCTCTTTGTTTGGTTTGTTTTTTAATTTCATTTATGTATTCCACTTTGTCTTTGTTTCTGTGTGGAATTTGGTTTTAAATTAATTTGATTTTGTGGAATTGGAGGTTTCAATCATTTTGTTCTGGTGTAAATCGGTTCTGATAATGATGTTCTCTGTTGCTTGCAGTTGTACAAAGTCCATTTGGTGGAGGCGTTACTGATTGGGTATTTGTGAACTTCGTGAAGAGGGTTTTGAAAAAAAAAAACCTTGTTTTGTTTATGTTGTACTGTTTAAAATTGGTTATGATAATCATGTTCTTTGTTGCATGCAGTTGGACGTTGATGTTTTGTTGGAGGTGGTAGTGATTTTCTATTTTTGGGTTGTCAAATCAGGTAATTGCCTGTTGAAGGTTTTGTCTTTGTCAGATCAGATAATAAGTTGGTCAAATGTTCTTTGAGTGATTAATATAAAGTAAGATTGTGGTACAACTCTATATAATATGGGTGACATAATGCTTTGGGTTTTAGATGTTCATATTCCTTTGTTTATTGATGAACCTATTAATTTGATTGAGATTCTGTTATTATTGTATGGATATTTTGGTATATATATAATATTGTTGTTGGTGTTCTGAGTACGTGTGTACTACTGACTTGAATATAGGTATTAATTGTATCAAGGTATTGGGTAGATTGATGTTCTGGTAGCAGATGAAAGGATAAATAAGATTGAGGTACCATTACTATGTATTGGGTTTTAGATATTCAGATTTCTTTGGTTTTTGATTAGGTAATAACATTACAGATTGTGCTTGTATTGTAGGCTGGCCAGTTCTGTTAAAATTAGAGGTGCACGAATTATTGGTCTTTTTAGGTGAATGTTTCTAAAAATTACATATTCATAAAGAGGGAAAGGTGATAGTAAATTTTGGGGAAGGTATTAGAATATAATAGATTAATTTATAATTAAAGTTGTGTTACTGATTGGTTTATTGATTTTTAAAATTGAGTGTGTACTTCAAAAGGTTTAAAACGAGGTTGTTGTTGTTTTAATATGATTTGGTTTTAATTATGTTTAAAAGAAGATTTGGTGGGTTATGCTAAATGTTTTAAAGGGAAAAGTTGTGCTTTAATGTGAAATGTACATTTGTATAAATCTGTACATATATTTAAACAGGTTTTTTTTGGGTATTTCCGAATTTCCAACAAAAACCTTTTACTATTTTAGTATGTGGATGAGTTTCCGTTTTAATAATGATTTAACTTTTATTTTGTTGTACATTGTAGGAACCTTTGTGTATTTAGTTGTTTATAATATATAGAGATGGAGAAAGCAGATGAACTTGAGATAGCAATTGCGGAATATAAAAGCTTTTGTCGAGTGCATAAACGTATCTTGGAGGTGCTTAAATTAGGTGTTTTGGCAATGGAGAAAGATATTTTACAGAAAAAGGCTGAGGTTGATTTGGTGTTGAAGAATGCAGAAAATGGTGTCAAGGATGCAATTGATGAAGCACCTATTATGGTGGAGAACTTTGTTAGATTATTAAATTGGTTGGACCGGGTCACAATCGAAGGTTGTTCACAATTTAGAAGATTAAGAGAAAATAAGAAGAAAGAGAGGGAGAAACTTGAATTGGTGTTGATGAAATATAACAAGAAGCCAGTTTATAGGTGATAGTGAATTGTTTCGGAAACGTAGAATGTAGCTGTAGATAATTGTTTTGGATAAGTAGTATGTAGTTATAATGAATGTTATTTTTGACATCGATGTTCTGCAATTGTGTTTGTGTAATGGTCTTTGTAGATTTTAAAAATGTTAGTTAGATTTAAGGATGAAGTTACTTACGGTACAAGTTTTGTAAAAAAACTATGGAATTGAATATCTAATTAGGTGTTTTATCCCAAAATTTTAAATGATTGTTGAATGATAAGTATGATATTAATTAAATACTTTTGTTTTGACAGTTTTGTAGTTTGTTATGAATAGATATTTTGCTTTTCTTTGTTATAGTGTTTTGGTTTAGTCTCCTCTTTTCCAGAATTATTTTAAGATAATATTACAACACTTTGTTGTAGGGTGTTTCTAATTAAATTTAATATATTGTAATTTCGTAGGTAAATTACGTGTTCATTTAAAAATAATTAGACTCATTTCAAATTATTTCCAGTAAAATACTTTTGTCTGCTCAACCTGTGAGAACTTAAACAACTGTATCTCTTTTGAAGCCTTTCTCTTATGATTTGCTTGCTATGCGTAATTTAAGTAGCTTTTCTTTAGGTCTATAATTGTTTTTGATTTTTGCTTGGATCATGCTGATACATACTTCTCCACTCTATTTTTTTTGGGCGCAATGGTGATGAAGCATTATTACGGATAAATCACAAAAATTCTTAATCTGGTCAATCTTCTTTGGACGAAACGACGTACAAATGGTCAGGAAAAGAAATTCCAGAGCTGTTGTCAACCCGGGTCAATTTCCCTTAGGGGAGACACCTTCGTCGCCGAAAAGGCAATGCCGAGACGAAGAACCAGGTCAAGTGGCGACGGAGATAAATACAGTTCCTTCTACTGTTCGTATCCAGAATCAACAAAAGACTTTTTCTTCTTCTCTTCTTCCTCTTCGACATTCGACTACAGTTGTCGTAGAACAAATCCAGAGACATAGGAAAAGGAAGAGCAGGGTTGTTGTCAACCCGGGTTAATTCCCCTTAGTTGAGTCCTCGTCGTCGCCAAAAAGGTCTCGTCCAACCGAAAGTGCGTATGAGCCGAAAGAATTATGGCATGTTCATTCGGAAGGTCCAATCGATGAACAAATCCAACCACAAAAAAAGGCCAGGAAAAAGGAGGACTAGGGCTGTTGTCAACCTAGGTCAACTACCGTTAGGAGAATCTTCTTCATTGCCAAAAGGACCTCGTCGAATCGAACAAATACATGCATTAAATAGGGAGAAAGTTCCAGTTCCTTCTGCTATTCGGGACCAAGGGGAAGAGTTTCAGCAAAAGACTTCTCATTATTCGGCAGAGGCTGTTGCCGAAGGAATTCAAACGCTTATTGATGCTTCTACCATGCACGCTGAGGATAACGTTGTGTTGGTTATGGAAGAGTGGCCGAAATCTTCTAAAGACGCTGAGGAGTGTGATAAAGAGTTTTGTCATGGTCATTCGGCAAGTCAACCAGCTGAACAAATCAAAAGACAGAAACAGGCCAGGCATAAAAAGACTAGGGTTGTTGTCGACTTGGGTCAACCTTCCTTAAGGGAGAATTCCTTATTGACGATAGGACTTCGACGAGACGAAATTACAAGCGAAGTGGGCTGGGAGAAAATTCCAGTTCCTTCAGCCATTCGGAACCTACGGGGGGAGATTCAGCAGAGTAATTTTTGGCATTTGGTAAATCTTGCTGCCGAAAAAGTTCAACTGCATGTTGATGTTCCAATCACACACGTTGAGGATACCGTTGCGTTAGATATGGAAGAGCGGCCGATATCTTTCAAGGACGCTGAACAGCGAGACGAAGAGTGTTGGCAGATCCATTAGGCAAGACCAACCGCTGTTCAAATCGACAGACAGAAAAGGTCCAAGAAAAGAAAGACTAGGGCTGTTGTCAACCTGGGTCAACTTCCGTTATAGGGGCCTTCTTCAATGCCGAAAGAGCCTTGGTTAGCCGAGAGTATAAGCGAATTAGGTAGTGAGAACATTCAAAATCCTTCTGATGTTCGTAACCAAGTGGAAGAGGTACAGCATAATACTATTCGACTTTCGGCAGAACATGTGGCCGGAAAAAGCCAAACGCAAGCTGGTGTGTTAATCACGCATGTTGAGGAAAACGTTCTATTTATTATGGAAGAGCATCCGAAAGGTGTCAATTACGCCGAAGAACATGACGAAGAGTCTCGGCAGGTAGATGGGTCGTCATCTGTTAATCTTTTGGAGGTGTCTGAGAATGTAAAGCACCGTAATTCTCTATGTTTATCTGCTTTATGTGATAGATTATATGTTATGTATATGTAATTTTTTTTTTATTATAGATACAATTCCAAAAAGCGTAGGAAGCGTGGTACTACAGGTAATGATGTCTAATATATTGCAATACAATTATTTACATGTTTCGTGACTTATTGACGCCCAATTTGTACAAATTTCAAAGTCTACTTTCATCTGTATAATGGTTTCAAAATCTTAATAAAATGAGTGGCGTAATATAAATGGTTTTTTAAAAAAAAAATTACAAATATTAAATGGCTAAATCTTTTGTAAGATGTGGTTTTGAATGGGAACAATTATGTTAAGAGTATAAACAGATTAGAAGAAGGAAATTTGTGAAGAAGAAGATAGTGATATTTCCAATGGCGGTAATTTAATACTTTTCCAAAAAATTGTTTTTTTACAATATTTTATCATTCAGTATCTTTGTGCATTTTTATGTACCTCTTGATTAGGGGATTTTTCTCCCACCAATCGGAATGCGCCACGTGGGCCAATCAGGTCCTGCCAAGTGTCCCCCAATTGGAACTGTCAGGGCTTGCCACGTGGCACACGCTTATTCGTCCACCCTGGACCTATTATGTCATGACACGTGGCATACTCCATGCCTAATGGAGAAACCGGCCACCCAGGCCCAACTTCCGAGGGAAGCCCAATCAGCCCAAGGTTAACCTAAACCTAGGGTTGGCACGTTTCCCAAGGTTATAAATACCTCCCTTAATCCTCATTAAGGGGGATTACGCACATTAAACACTCTCACCTAGAGAGACCCAACCACTTTAATTTCCGCATTAATTACTCCTTAATCAAGTACTAACTTGACCGTCGGAGGCGGATCTCCAATCATCCGGAGCATCCGTTTGTTTTGCAGGTACAGGCGTCCGGTTCCAGTCTCGGAATTGTAACTCTCCCGCAGGACATCAGAAAACCCCGAAACATTTTGGCGCCGTCTGTGGTGAGAGTACTTCTGAGATGGCATCCACGTCTGTACCGACTCCTGAAGAGAGGCGTCCCCTAGACGATCCTCAAGTTAAGTCGGACCACGATACTGAGAATGAATTTGAAGTTGAAGCTCACACAGCTTCAGACGGGACCCAGTGATCCAGCCGGCGCACCGCCTATTCAGCAGCAGTCGGTTGATGGGTCTGCTCCCATTACAAGAAACGAACTCATGACCTTCATGAGGGGCTTCAAGGGAGAGATTCAAGAGTTGCTTAACAAGAAGCCTGCTCTGGCCAAGGAGCAGTCGGCTAAGAAACCTTCCACTTCAGGGAAGAGGAAGCCACTTCAAGGGCGAGAGGCGACCCCTCATCCTAACTCTAGGAAGTGGGAGCCGCCTGCCCTTGATTTCACAAAGTACCGCTTTCCTACTCTAGGAAAGAGGAAACCTGTTCGTCATATTCAGGCGGACGGGTCGAAGAAAACATACACAGATGCTCGGTTATTGCTAGAACAGAAGAAGAATGACCGATTGTCAGAGTCGGCCTCTACTTCAAACTTCCAAGACAGTCTGCGCAATACCTCGATGAGGCATACACAGTCGCATCATGAGAGTCAGTCAGGCGGTACCTCCCGTCAGTCCGGCTTTCATAGTGACCAGGCGGTACCAAACTTACCATTTGTACCGCAACAACAATATTTTTTGCAGCCACCTCTGTTTGGTGGGCATGCAGCAAAGAATGTCCAACCTATGGACTGGCAGCTACGGTTGCTTAGACTTGGGGAACAGCCGTCGGCCTTCTCCAAGGAAATTGCTGAAGCCGCTCAGCCGGCCAAAGTGAAAAATGTATTAGTAGGCGCCTATGACGGCACTACTAACCCAGAAGACTATTTGATGGCATTCACCAACCTGATGTACCTTCAAAGGTTGGATGATCCCACTTGGTGCAAGTGTTTCCCAGCGACTCTCAAAGGAATCGCACAACAATGGTTCGGCAACCTGCCGACTGGTTGTGTGAATAACTTCAGGACGCTTGCTTACTTATTCACCTCCAACTTTGCCATGAACATACCTGCGAAGAAGACGACCCTTGATTTAGGAACGATTCAGCAGGGCGAGAAGGAGGGGCTTCGTTCTTAAATCAGGCGGTTTAACCTGATGAGAATACAGATTCAAGGGTTACCGGATGAGGTAGCCTATACTGACTTTTTCAGAGGCCTCAAAGACGGATCGACATTCAAATTTGATTTGGTCCGAAAGAGGGTGGCGACTCTTCAAGAGGCCTTGATTGAAGCAGAAGCCTATATACAGGCGACTGATCTTTGTAGTACAAAACAGTCGGACGGGAAAAGGTTCGACAAAAAAGAAGGGCGACAGAAACAGTTGTCGAACAAAGATGAGAAGAAAAGAAAAGAGGTCTGGGCGGCTGATTCCTCTAAACAGCCGGCCCAGAAGAAGAAAAAAGAATTCAAACCATACTCCCCAAAGTATGCGTTTAACAAGGATAGCCAAGCTATCCTAAAGGAAATCAAGGGACGGATTTCAATTGAGAAGCCGCTCCCCATGAAGGGTTCTGCAAGCAACCGGAACCAAGAAAAATTTTGTGATTATCATGAAGATGTTGGTCATCACACCAACGAATGCATCAGTCTCATGCGGTATCTGGACCGCCTGGCTGAGCAAGGCGATCTTGACTCTTATGTCAAGAAATCCACGGGGAACACTTCCTCGAAAAAGCAGTCGGCCAAAAAGAGTCAACAGGCCGACAACTCTGATACAGATGATGCAGTCGTCTACACCATTGCAGGCGGCTTCACAGGAGGCGGTCCCACTATTAGGGGCAACAAAGACAATATCAGGCGGCTAGATGTAAATTCCGTTCACCAAGAACGGCCCTGCAAATATTCATTTCCTGAGATTGTCATCACTGAAGAAGATCTAGGAGGGGTAAGGGGGCCGCATGACGACCCTATCGTTATTGAGTGTAAAGTGGCCAACCAAAGAGTTGGCCGAATCCTTATAGATACTGGAAGCTCCTCAGATCTTATCAGTAGCAAATGTCTGTCAAAATTAAAATATTAGACTGATTGCATACATCCGGCATCCCACCCTTTAGTAGGGTTTGGAGGAGGAGTCGTCCACCCAGTGGGACGAGTGGATTTACCCATCCGCCTGGGTGAAAAAGGGGAAGGACGACATATGGTAGTCCGGTTCCTGGTAGTAGAAGAACTCTCGGCCTACAACATGATTCTGGGACGACCAACCCTGAATAATTCCAAGGCTGTTATAATCCCATCTCTTATGTTGCTCAAGTTTGAGAGGGATAATGGAACAGTCGGGTCCCTAAGGGGAGATCAGAGGATGGCCCGAGAGTGCTATCTCTCGGATATCAAGCCCACTGTTATGACCGCTGGGTCAAGTGGTGGAAAAACAGACCTTGACAATGTCAAGGAGAGTACGCCTGTTCAAGAAGCAGGCGGCAAGAAGAGAAAGGCAGCCCAGACAGGGGCCGCAAGAAAAGACAGAAAATAGCAATCATTGGCAGAGGAGCGCTCAGACGAATTCCGCCCTCAGCCGGCTGGTGAGCATACAGACCTGATCTTAGACGATTCACGTCCTGACCGAACAGCCAAAGTTGGGACGACTGCTCTGAAAGTCCTGGGTGACGATTTGCACAAACTATTGAAAGAATACAAGGACATCTTTGCATTCGAAGTCAACGAAATGCCAGGCATTAGTCCTGACCTGGCGGTACATAAACTGGCTGTGGATCCGAAAAAGAAGCCGGTAAGGCAGAAAAAGCGGAACCATGGCGAAGAAAGAAGTCAGGCGGCAGCCGCCGAAGTAAAAAAACTACTTGATGCAGGGTTCATTCGGCAATGTTACTTCCCAGACTGGGTTGCAAATGTGGTGCTTGTTAAAAAGCCGAATGGCACCTGGCGAATGTGTGTAGATTACACAGACTTAAACAAGGCGTGCCCCCAAAGACAGTTACCCTCTGCCTAAAATTGATAACCTCGTCGACTCAACAGTCGGCCATGCTTTAATGAGCTTTATGGACGCCTACTCTGGTTTCCATCAAATTCCTTTATGGAAGAAAGATCAGGAGAAGACGGCCTTCATCACTGATCAAGGGTTATACTGTTACACGGTTATGTCGTTCGGTCTTAAGAATGCCCCGGCCACCTTCCAGCAAATGATAAACACTGTGTTCTTTGATCAAATCGGGAGAAATGTCGAGGCATACATTGATGATATGATTGTCAAGTCTAAGCTTCAGACAGATCATCTGTCGAAACTCCGAGAAACTTTCGCCACACTCAGGCGGCACCATGTCATGCTCAATCCCAAGAAATGTGTATTTGGAGTTGAGTCTGGGAAATTTCTCGGATTCCTTATCAATCAGAGAGGAATAGAGGCGAACCCTGAGAAGGTGCAGGCGGTTATCGACATGCAGTCGCCTCGTACCGTCCGAGAGGTTCAGAAGTTAACAGGTTGTCTGGCGGCCTTGGGAAGATTTCTAAGTCGATCAGGCGACAAATGCTTATACTTCTTCCAGGCCATTAAGAAGAAGGCAAGGTTTGAATGGGGGCCGGATGCTGAGGCGGCCTTCCAGAAATTGAAAGATCACTTGCATTCCTTGCCAAGGCTGGTCAGCCCTTTGCCCAAAGAAGTACTCTACATGTACCTGGCCGTCTCTGATCATGCGTTAAGCGCTGTTCTTCTTGCTGAAAGAGACGGCTGTCAGCTCCCGGTCTACTTTGTCAGTCATGTATTGAAAAATGCCGAGTTGAGGTATCCCTTAGTGGAGAAATTTGGTCATGCACTCTTCATGGCTGTTAAAAAATTGAAGCCCTACTTTTTGGCACATGCAGTCGTCGTGTATACAGATCAACCTATCAAGCGGCCACTAACCACCATGGAGTCGTCAGGTCAGATGATCAAATGGGCCATAGAAATACAGAGCCTCGAAGTTACTTTCGAGCCTAGAAAGGCAGTGAAGGGGCAAGCCTTTGCTGAC